AAGAGGAGGTTAAATTACATAGTCATAAAAAAGTAAAACATTTAACTGTCTACAACAAACTAAAATGTATTGAAATGAGTATTAAATATTGATATTTAAAATGAATACAAATAAAACATGTAAGCCAAGAAATAAAGTGTAAATAAATAACTATGAAATATAGAGTAAAATAATATTTTAGGGCTAAGAATATTTTATTAAACTGATGTTAACTTTTCAAGCTCTTTTCTGTTCTATTATGTCCCAGGAAAAGAAGGAGACATCTTTATAGACCATTTTAAAGCCATAGGAAAAAATTGTTCTTGGTATTTAGCTAAAATAGGCCCACCAAAGTGTACTTGTGTTTAATGTTCTTTCAAAAGTGGGCATGGTTTGGATAGAAGTACAGTTTACATTAGGTTTGGTCTGCTGAGGATGGTTAAATTATATCATACTCAAATAGCAGTACAAAAAGTTGGGTAGAAAAAAAGAACCCAAATGGTATAAATACAGGGGATGCGGGGTGTTTTGACTTCTTTCCAGCTGCTGACATGCCACAGATTCCCCAGGCATGCAGAATTACCCAGGCCTTGTTCTAAAGCAATGCTAGGGGAAGCCAGCCTTCTCATCACAAGTTGAATACTCCACTCCCATCCTCAGTCTAGGATATCAACCCAACAACTGGGACATAAACAATACAGGGTGGAGGGAAGGCTTTAAATGTGGGTGTTAACACACATTTAGAAGCTGGTTTGGGAGAGGGGGAAAACATTTTTTTTTCCTAGAGAAAGGCTACAGATTATATAAGTTCAAAGACAAGGTTAAATGTTAAACAAATATTAATTCCAGTTTTCCTATATGCAGTGCACAGGTGCAGCTTCAACATCAGATTATATGGTATAATCATTAAATTCATTCAACCAGACCTTAGAGACTTAAAAACATATATTCTGAGGACCAGGACTCCTCGGTCCAAAGAATGAGAATGAAATGGGGCAGAATATTTGTGTTATCAAGGTGATTCCAGTTTCCAACTGGGAAAACAGGACTGTTAACGCCCACGTCCCCTGACAACTGTCCAATTATGTAGATCACACTTGGCCTAGTGTTTGCTGAAGAAGTAATCAATAAAGGATGTGGTTGACTGAACATAGATTTTGGTTGAGCCAATGCATGAAAACTTAATCATTTACTCAGAGAGAAGAAATCAAATAGAGCAGAGATGAAACAGCCACTGAGGGGTTTGTTGATTGTGCTACCAAGTTTGTGGGCCACAGATGAAAGTCATAAGCAAATGGGATCAGTGACAGGAGAAAATGTAAAAAGCTATTCTTAATTCCATGAATTAATAGAAATGTTTCTTGTGGAGTTTTTTTTTGGTCATTTTTAGTAAATTTCACATGGAAGCCTGGATGTTCCATTTTAGAGAATATATGAAAATTACTAGGGCGTGTCATTTCTCTCAAGCAAGAGGGAATTAATCTTCGGCTATAGCAGAATGGTAATTTTCACAGTGGAAACTTTGTTGGGATTGACTTGAAGATCTCTAATGTGGAGAGTTTTCCGGGAAATCATTTAACTCAAGTGTGTGAGATTTCCCACGGGCATGGGTGAGTCCAGAAGTGGGACGGCTCTGACCAATGTGTCATGAACACAGTTTCACGGGCTTTTTCTAGGTTCTTTTAAATACTTTTCCTGATCATGTTGAAGACTTGTGGCATTTCAGTAAGTGAATTCATAAATGAGAATATACAAAATACATACTCTATAAGTAAAATCGCATGCACTTGAATCATCTCCAAAACCATCATCATAATAATAGTAACATTACTTGGTAATTTCTCAATTCACTTTTTCTTTACGAACCACAACTGGCTTTTATAGCAGCATCGTAGGGCTCTTTCAGAATTGATTTATATTTCAAGTAAGAAGGAAATAGCTTTGCAAATGCTTATTTTCTTTTACACGGCTTATGTCCTTATGGGGTGTATATTATTTACACTAATAGATAACACAGCTGTCCACTACTGGAGCTCCCTGAGTGTGTCACACCAGGTCTGGCTCAAGCAACACCAAGGGGTAACTCCATATCACCAAGTCCTGCCTTGAGAGAATGTGGTGTGTTTCTAAGAGAAAGCTTAGTATAAATTCTTACAGCCTTTCTAGGAGCTTCCAGCTCACACACTTTTCATGCACACTCAGCTGATGGCCTTAGATACCACTTATCCTAGACATGGATATCCTCTTCCATTTCCTTTAAAGAGATAAAATATGTTTATTGAGATAGGCTGCCATTAACGAAACTGGTGCCATCACCCAGGTTAGGGAAGAAGAGATTTAGGGGGAATGCTAAGCTGCATACACAACTTGATTTATTTCTCAGCCACCACTGCCGTCATTTTTTCTATTTTGCTCACATTATCTTTTGTCTAATGCCTGCTAAGCCATAAGGACAGCTGAGGATTGTGAACAGGGCTCACATGTATGTAATTGTGTGTGTTTGCACATGTGTGGGCATGCTTATCAAAGTTAATAACAACCTTTCAAAGCAACGTTTTCCCAAAAATGACCACAAAAATGTGTAAAGGTTTCTACAGTTTCTGAATATGGAATTAGTTGCATTTGGCATAAAAGTAAAATGTGTTTCTCTCTCTCAGGAGTTTTTCTTGATTACACTCCACATGAGCTTTCTTTCTTTTTTTCACAGTGTTCCTCTGTATAGCTCTGGCTGGCCTGGAACTCACTTTGTAGACTAGGGTAGCCTCGAACTCACTGAGATCTGCCTACTTCTGCCTCCTGAGTGCAGGGATTAAAGGCATGTACCACCATTGCCTGTGTCTCTACACTATTTTATTTTTTGAGACAGGGTCTCTTTTGGAACCTGGAGCTCATTAATTAGACTAACTCTCCAGCAACCCGGGGATCCATCTGTCATGACCTCTGCAGCACCGGTATTATAGTAGGTACAGCCATGCCTAGCCTTTATGTGGATGCTGGATATCTGAACATAGGTTTTTATGCTTTCACAGCAAGCACTTTCCTGACTGGGCCATTCCCAGGGCTCTGTTTGCAGTGTTGCTGAGAATATAATATAATATAAAAGAAAAAGGTTTTCCCTGTTTGTAAGAAACTTCTACCCCCTCACCTGTCATGTACAGCTATAGCATTTCCCACCTCAAACATAATAGACCATCTGTGTCAGAATTTATCAAGAATTCAAATTCTGAGGTTCAGATGGAAAAAATTCCAGATGAAACAAACATCCATCGAACCTTTGCAGATCATTTGAAGTGAACCTTAAGTGTCCAGAAGTTCCAAAATTAAATTCGAGAGCCATTAGTAACCAAATGCCATCACAATGTTTATCCTGTGACATGGTAAAGGCCCAGGAAAGATTTGTAAGGGAAACCATCCTCCTGAGGGTTTTATCTCTTTAGCTGTGTGGGATGCAAAGGAAATTTCCTTTTGTAAGAATTATTTTGTAAGCATGTGAAGGGGCACATTAATATTACTGTGCACACTTAGACCAGGCTTGTTACTACAAAGTGAGACTGTTTTCTAGGGGATGAAGAGATGGCTCAGTAGTTAGAGCACTTGATTGCTATTCCAGAAGACCAGGTTCAGTTCCCAGTACCCACATGACGTCTGACAACCACCTCTAACTCTAGTCCCAGAGGGTCTGATCCCCTCCTATTCTGGCTCCTGTGGATATCAGTCATGCACACACACACACACACACACACACACACCCCACATACACATAAAACATGCATACATAAATAAATAAAACAAAAAACAAATAAAAACAAACAAAACTACCACCAACAAAACCCAACTGTTTTCTACTGATCTGCAACAATGATGACACCAGGGGTAAGGAATTTAATAGTTGAAATGAACTGGACGGCAAGTATACAGGGTCCATAGGTCCAAACAGATATTCAGTTGAATACTCATCTTAGCTGTTATTTCGAGAGATGGCTGGTGGTCTTTTGAGGACTGTCACCATGCACATTTGGAGGGCCCACTTACAGGCTGTTTGCTTTCCTTATGTGTGGCTGGCCCTGTCTCTCCAGTAAACACCCACACTCTCATCAGTAGTAACCTTCTCCTAGACATTGCCTAACAGTGACCGTGTTTTAACTGATATTTTATAGGACACCATCTATTTCGCTGGTATGGCTATTTTAAGTAGTGATTTTTAATCAGTAATATATATGTAACAGCTCTCCTTTAGTTCATGAAGCATCTAAGCATTAAATATCTTTCAATAACACCCCACCTCTTCAGACTGCCCTGTATATATTTACAATGGAAATGAACATGAAGAAGTTTCAGTTTAGTGCATTTTACACATGCAACTGTTATTATTATTATGTAAGGCTCTATTTTGGCTCTAAGATGATATACTGAAAACCAAGATTGTGAATGGCTTACACACAATTATGCTCTATAACAATGGTGAACTAGATCACACGGTAGCTGTAATACAGTGAGGGACAATCACCACGTTTCCCACCAAAGGCATCAGAAGCTGTCCATAGAGACTTGTATTCATGTTTCTGTTTCAGATGAAATGTTGGGAAGTTGGTTTGCACCCAACTGTTAATCCAGGTTTGCTTCATGGTAGAAATGTGGTGGAGGTGTAAAGTGAAACTCTTCTGAAGAACTCAGGAAAGACTATGTATCGAGGTGCACCGCCTGATACAGGCTCTCTGCAACCCTGACTTATGAGATATGACCTGATTTTTCTCTTCTCTGGTTCATTCAAGGTCATCACTAAACTCACTGAAAAGGAAAGAGAGCAGATTCAAAGGAGGAACAGACAAAGATGACTTTGGATGCATCTTTTAAAAATACCACACTGGTTTAAAGTAACTTACCATCAAAGGGTCACTTAAGAAGGGCACTGCTTAAAATTTAAGCAGGCAGTAATGGAAAGCGACAGACCTCGAACAATTTAAGTCTTTCACAGCTGGGTGACTCCACAGTGACAGCAGGACAAGGCTGTGCTAACTTACCTCTGCAGGACTTTGGCGATGGCCTCGTAGGCTCTCCCCAGGTTAAGATCATCGCCCATGCTTGTGGCAATTTCACTGTACCTGCGAAGCACCTACAGGGAGAGGAACATGCTGAGTGGAGTCTGTCCACTTTACATAACAGACGAGATAAAAATTAGTTGTTCTTAAACGTCTATTTTTTTGTTTATTAAAGAGTCATGCTGGCTTGGTTTATTTTTGTCTGTGCTGTGGTTTGTTTCACAGCCATCTCTTTGAGCCATGACAGTGAAATCTTACTTTTGTGAATTTTTTCCCTCATACCATCCCAATTCTCCAAACCTTTCTGTTTATATAATGTAGGTGTGAATAAATAATTGAACGGTTTACAGCATTATTTTAAAATATGGAGACTATTACCTAAGGTAATATAAGGCAGATTAGAAAGCTCTACTATAGTAGTTCAAATATCATGGTTCTTTCTATAAATAGAGCTTTGTAAAGAATGAATTTAGGGGATGGGCCTTTTCTAAATCTGTCATTTTAGGAGAGGCTTGTCTTGCAGTGTTATATGTATATAGCACACACTAAAAATATTTCTTACAAATGTACTTCATTACCAGCAATCTCCCTGATAATCAAAAGATTACAGCTGCCACAGCCAAACATATGATCTTAATTTAATTTAACATTGACATCATTGGTGTGCTGTCATTTCATCTTTTTAATTTCCCACTCTACTCTCTGGTCAGAAGAGGAAAATACAGAAACCAACATCCCCTCTCTTTCTTCTTCCTTTATTGTTATGTGACCCAACCTATTACACACATGAGGACACAGGAAATCTCCAAAGACCTCTATGAAAATCCTTTTTGCACATTTTCTAGGAAAGAATTAGAGAAAGTCACTTTATGGCATTTGAGCGGGTGAGCTGGTGGGGGTGGGGCACACAGCTGCCTGGTGTGCTCTGTCTCAGTTAGGCAGCATGAGGGGTTTAAGCACTAGGACACGTTGATGTTTGCCTATTCTTTTTCCTCTTGTTTCTTTTATGTACTTGCACTGAAGCCCCTCTCCCCATTTGCTTGTCTGTTTCCATCCTTGAGACAATCTTCCTTCCCTATCTGCCTTTATGTCACATGCATCTTTATTTCTTCAGAGTTAACATCTGGGAAATAATTCCATGATGCCATCATGTCCCCACATTAGAAGAGCTCTCCTGTAGTTTACAAGGGATTCCTCATAGTAAGACCTACACATGGGTTCACATCAACTCTGGTATTTGATTCTTGTTAAGTTCACAAAGTTCTAAGTTTTAAAAAAAATATTTTCAATCGTTTCAAGTGACTAGAAATGATTGCACTTATTTATAAGATACAGTTTTTCTGTGTATAACTGGGGAGTCCACTTACCAACTTTCCAACTTGTTACTGTTCTATGAAAATAATGTTCAAAAAACAAACAAAAAGAATCTACTTAATATATTTTTATCAATGTTTTTGTCTTTGTGTGTATGTGTGTTCACATGTGTGAATGTGTATCATGGCGGAGGACAACCAAAGGTTAAAGACCTCACCTTCCTCCTGCTTTTGAACAGGGCTCTTGTCTGCACTGTGTAATGCTAAGCTGGACCCTATGCTTCCTTGGAGTTCTCTGCCTACCATCTTGCTGCAGGAAAATTGCTTATACATGTGCACACTACCACATCTGACTTTGGGTGGGTGCTGGGGGTCTAAACCCTGGTCCCCACACCTGCACAGCAAGCACTCTAGCCCCCCTTAGCAATTTTGGAATATATAACACGTAATCATTAGCCTTGATCCTTATTTTTAGGTTTCTTAATGAAGCTCTGAAGAAACCTGAGGATATTTTTTTCATCCCATCCTCACAGCTGACAATTACCTGGTTTTACCTGAGGTGACTTCACAACCTATTCTGAGGCATGGGATAGAACCTCCGGATGCTTTAAATTTGTAAGAAACCTTGTTGAATTGAGGTACAAAACACGTAGGAAGAAACTCTATGGAACTTAATTTTGGGCCACATATTTTTAGATGACATTCTAGAATCTCACATTAGAGGCTGGCTATTAATATATTTTATGCCCAAAATAATTTATTTGTTTTTTTTTCAATAAAACTGTTACTGTGGCCCCTGCACTGTTTTAAAGCATAGGGAATCTTGCAATGGTGACTTGTTTGGCCACAGAGAACATTTATATATTGCCTACTAGTCCCAACTTTGGGCTGATAGAGCAGTGAGAATCAGCAACAATTCGAGGCAGGATTTTCCTAGGCATACGCTGTTGGCCTTATACAGTGATGCTCTTTGTTCCTAGTTACCACATTCCCTCTTTCTCTTGCTCACCCACCTCCCTTCTGTAAGAAGGGATCTCACAGAAGGGATCTCACTCTGTTTCCCAAGCTAGCCTCATACTCATGGTTCCAGCAACCCTGCTGTAGCCTCTTGAGCCACTGGAACTAGAGGCATGACCCCAGTTGTAGTGGGATATTCACTTTGTCTCCTTCTGGGCACCGACCACGCCCATTGGGGGGTGGAGCCAGGGGCGGAAGTGACCTGTGGAAGGAGGTCTGAGGAGGAGCCGGGAACTTGCTGGTGTTCATCTGTCTAGGTTGTAAGTTATTTCTCCCTGAATAAACATCTATTCGGCCTATTTGTTTATCCTGATCCCTATTTAACCACAATACCCAGCCTCTAACTCAGAGATGCAGGCCTTAGTTCTTCCATGCCTGTTTCATATTCCAACATGCAGGCCATGAGAGCTCTTTGTATTTAATTTTCTCACTAAAGAATAAAGCTAAACACTGTTGTTCAGTTCCTCTGATTATGTACATCATGCCATGCAGTCTGCACACTAGACAACAAGTGTTCTTCCTCTCCTTCCCAGCCTCCAGGAGAATCCCTGGTAGGACGTCCCTCCCCAAAGTGAAGATAACCATTTTATTTGTGGCTTGAGAGAATCTTACCCCAGAACCAGGAGCCACATAGGCAGTTGGAAAGACATGGTTCATTTTTTTGCCAAACATGTGTGTATGCTGTATATGAGGGCTTATGCACATGGAGGCCAGAGGCCAAGCCCAGAAATGCCATCCACCTCATCTGAGACAGGGTCTCTCATTGGCCTGGAGCTCAGCAATTAGGCAAAACCAATTGGCCAGTGACAGTGAGCTCCTCCTTTATCTGCCTTTGGGCTAAGATTACAGCTACATGGCCAAGCAAGGTAATTTTACATGGATTCTGGGCTTGAACAAAGTTCCACATTATTTTCAAGACAAGATTATTGAGCAAGTCCCCTCAGTTCCCCAATTCTTTTCAAAATTCACATTTGGTGGTATTTAAAAAATACTTTTTCTTTTATCATTTACCTCCGTGCCCCCCCTTCCTTAGCTGGTTCAGTAATGCAGGCAGAGATCTCCTACTCAGGAGGCACAGACAAGGCCATGGACAGACCTTGTGTGAGCATTAATAAGACCATGCATGGGACTTGTGCAAGCATTAATCAAATCTCTGAGTATTCAGATTTCCTCCAAATTCCATAGGCGATAGCAGGTCTACTAATAAACTGAATGCCATGTGTCAAGTAGCTTCATCTTTCTGAACTTAATTCCTCAGGTGTAAATGGAAATGAATAAATCCTCCTTTGAAGGAGCGTTAAAAGGATCCTATGTGATGTGGTATTTAAAGTACTTATCAAGGGTTTGAGTGAAGTAACACCCTAATTTTTCCTTCATGCTTGTCTAACCTAGCCTTTCTGAAGTGGAGGGACGTCTGTCAACATCTGAAAATACTTCACGCCGTTTATAATCAGGGAAGGGTTGCTAGACCTGCGGTACACACAACACATCTCCAAAACAAAGAATTATCTGGCCTAAAATGTCAGTAGATCCACTGTTGAGAAACCCTGATCTGGCCTCCATTTAAACAACTTTCCTGACTGGAAACTATTCTGTTGGGAAAATAGCCACAGGCTCACCAGATAGTGCCATAAACAAACTATAGGTTGAGTTGAGCTAAGATCTGCAGCTCCCACCCGCTAGCTATGATTGTGTCTTGTGCAGCAACAAGGTGAATTTGTCCATCTCTATACAACAACTTCTACTCTTGAAGCATAGCTATTTTCTCCATCCAGCTCTTCAGCAAACCCAAGGATATTTGGGGACAAGAAAGAGCAAAACTATTATCATTTAGCCACATTTAAACATTTCTTCCTGTTTTCCCCACAAATCTCAGAGGACCAGAAGAGTCAGAATAAGCCCATTTAGCTGCAACATCATCTGCAAACAAGAAGCTGCAAGAGTGTTGACTGCCAGGGTACAGGTTTTAGCTCCCCCCAACCCAGGATCACTATAAAAAGGCAGTACACCTGGGATTTGTTGCACATATCCCAGAGAAGCTCAAATCGTGCCGTTTTATAAGAAAAGTTAGGCACTAGCTTCAGTTCACTGCTTTGCTTTGGAGAAAAAAAGCAATAGTGATGTTTTTACTAGCATAATAACAAATACAGGAAATATAAAAAGTCAGATTGCCACCGTGAGCTTGAAATCACTGTCAAATCTTGTTGGAAATACATTTATTCTGATTGCTGGCACGCTAGCCCTCTTTAGCCATGTCACAGTTGGCGAACAGAGAGGATGCTTCTGCGTCATTTACAGGGTCTGAACCCAATGCAGACAATCAGCTGCAACATTAGTCAAAGAAATCAGTGGCTAATGACTTCTGACAGGCACTGGAGTGACAGGCTGAAACCAGCCAGGGCATCACCTGCATTCAGGGGATCTTCCTGGAGATGAAGAGGGGCATTGAGGGGAATGCTGAGAACCAGCTAGGGCGCGCACGCGCGCGTGTGTGCACGCGCGCGCACACACACACACACACACACACACACACACACACTTTCTGGAGATGCAATAAAGACAGTGACATTTTCTTACAGTTATGCTAGCCTGAATAAACCATGGAGTGTGTGATTTTGTAATCATTGCAAAACTAGTTTCACTCTTCTTTTCTTACAGAGCATTGTGCACTCTGAAACTCTCTTCCTCTGTAGGAGACAGTAGACTTTCCTGCTTCTAACATTGATCATTTGGAGAGTGAACTC